GTATCATACTTCGAAATGTACCATTTCTTGTTTAACTTTCTAATGGCACGATATAGTGACACGATAATATTTACACATGGTTTCAGCATAACTATGAAGGTATAAATGAGATGTTGATGTATTTGGTCTTTTTAATTCTTTAAAAAAAATAATGTTTAATTTTTTTGTCCGCTGTGACGGAGCAGTTGCAAATGTGAACTGTGAAAATGCTCCGTCACAGCGGACAAAAAATATTAATACTATTTTTTATAAAAAAATTAAAAAGACCCAATGCATTAATATATCATTAATACATTCAGAGTTATGCTGAAAACATATGTTAATATTATCGTGTCACTATATCATGCCATTAAAAAGTTAAAAAAGAAATGGTACATTTTAGAGTTTGATACTCTGGCGCCATTTTCAATAGATTTTACTCCTAGCGTTATTGGACTTCAAACAGAAGTGAAGGTTACACGCAAATGATATATCCATTGCATGGAGTAAGTAACTATCTTTGATATAACGAAACATATGAGTTAAAAAATAAATCGTGAAGCATTCTTAGTGTTTTTATGAAAAATAGCATGCTCCGTCACAGCGGACAAATCTTTCGATACCTGCCTGTGTTGAAAGTTATACACATGTACAGTATATACAACCAAGATAGCATGAAAGGTGAGCTGCCAATCATGCAGTGTCGTCGCATAGTTGCTCTTATTACTGAAAAAGATGACCATGATTTTTCATATTTTTTTGCAATATAAGATTACACTCTAAGGTAGCATTCACTTCATATATGGGCATATGGATTGAAAAGTTAATATGAAAGTTACATGGGAATGAGGATTATCCATTGGGAAATCCCATGTTATGGAGTTCACCCTGTCCATATTTGAAAGTTTTGTTTACCCATCTGCCATCTTTGAGAAAATCGATGCATTAATGAAGGAACATATGTAAATATATGTATGTGTTGACACCTAATGAATGCATGACAGTTTGCTAGGTCATGGGAAACCAATGGTATCCATTATTTATGTGAGGGGATTTAATTCAATACCAGAGTATCCAATGAGGCATGAATAAAATAACATTGACTGACTTATACTGGACCTATGAAAAACTGATGTACAGTAAAGTTATGCATGAATGTGAAAATGTATGAAAAGGGGATGGATGGTGAAAATGATTTTGGTAACAGTTCCACAATTTGTCATCCATTTTTCAATCTCTGACAATACCGCATGTGCTATTCTGACATTATAATACCACATTTGTTATTCTGACATTGCAATACCACATGAGTTACTCTCACATTGCAATACCACAAGAGCTACTCTAGGGAAAGTTCAATTGAGTCTCATTAGGTACCAATGAAAAATAAAATGACCCATTGAAATTTACTAGTATGTGATTCTGTTGTCCTATAGAAGTTTTCAAGACTCAGTCAGATTTTGTAGTACTGAGACTCCACTGGCAAATATATACACTTACTAAAGTCCCAAAGAAATAAGGAGCATCTTCCTTATTTCCATGGTTTTAATTTTCAATATACTTCACAAAAGTATTTTACATGTATGGTGTGGTACATTGACATAATCATTGACCTTGTTATGTTGCTGATAATTATCCCATCGAACGAAGTTGGGAGGGATATAGGGAACGCCTCCGACCGTCCGTCCGTCCGTCCGGGCAATAACTCAAATACCGTTGGCCCGATTTTGTTCATATTTTGTACACATATACCCTATAGGGGTAGAAGTTCTGCTCGAAAGCCGATTTTGAAAATGGCCGCTCATTTAAAAATGGCGGCCATTTTAGTGCCGATTTTACAGTAATTTAGGTGCAATATGTAAAACTGTTATAGCAATGTGTTTTAAATGTAAAAAAAATTATATAGCATATTGATAAAGCTAGATACAAAAATGGAAACCCTAACAAATATATTAATAACTCAGGTTTAGTGTCACATTTGGCACAATTAGGCCTTGTCCAATATTGTCATTCTAGTTCTACCAAGTTTTAATGGTCTATCTCTAGTGGTTACGATTTTATGGCCATTTAACAAAACATGCCACAAAATATGGGAATCATGTCTGGAGACCAACTTGAACGTTTGTGGCTTAGCTGTACACAACACGCTCAAAAACATCTTGTGTTATGGCTCTTATCTTCTTATCTCTTGTTTCAATGTTTCAAGGGTTGTTAGTGTAGAAAATAGGCCCAAAAAAGATTTTAAACCCATGAGTTATTAGCATACATTTTTTCGGTTACCTTTATTGGCTCGCCCTGTATCTTCGCCTCTTACACTGTTTCATCTAATTGTGTATAGTTTCAACTTATATTCTTAACATTTAAAGAAATGAATCACAAACACCCTTTTAATTGTGATTTTGTATTTTGATTAGAAAAAAAGCTTATAAAATGGGATTAGTACAGAACATGGCACCGAGCCATGGCATACTCTATGGCGCCCCTGTGTCATTGGCTCTTGAATACTAATTCAGATAATTTTTGTTCTTGATCCTCTTACTCAAGTTTTGTTTTTTGGAAGAAAGAGAATGGATCCTTGCATACGTACTACGTACTGTACGTCTGTAACTTGATTTAGATTGACAAATGTTCATTCATTGAAAACTATGTCAAGAAAGATAATATAACCTTAGTAAGAGGCCCAATATTTGGAAGGGTAGACATTTGTAAGGGCAATCATAATCTACATAAATATGCAAGAATTTGACACGAAATAGTGTATTAAAGCCTACAGTGTGACAAAGGGGGTGCCGTAGCCTATGTCATAGGGTGTACCTGTGCCATGACACGGTGCCATGTTTTGTATAAACCCATTTTGAATGGAATTGATAATTAGCAATTCTACCTCCCCATATTTATATAATTATATGGAATAAGACTGGAGCAAACCTCGCTATATCCCAACCAAATGAAAGTGTAATGAAGTTTGCCGGATTCTTGAATTTATACACCCCTCTTTTTGGATTGGGTTACATTAAGGATATAATGTCAAGGCAATGTGAAGTGCTGGAGAATAAAAAAAACATTCAAACATCAGCCATGACTCAAATTACTATGAGCATGACTTTTATCAGCATGTATCCTTCAAACATTTTCTTATACCTTCTGTGTAAATGCTGTTGGATATAATACTACTTAAGTGTTTGCAAGTCACAATGCGTATAATCCTGTATGAATAAACTGCATTCAGTAGCTGACACTGTGAGTACAAAACATGAGTTCCAAATACACACTACCATACCTAACACCTAGGAATGCATAAGATACTTTGTTTGTCTAATTGGATTGTTTAGTATATTTTTGAAAGTACCTTATCAACATCTAACTTTCAACCGATAAACCATTAATAAGGAACAGACAAATAAAAACAAATATATAATCATTACTAATAAGCCAAATGGATTGCTCATGAAAGCCAAATGCAAGGTATAGTAGTGTGAATATAACACCAGATATTATGACACTGTTTTGCCATCTATTTGTGTTGAATATATTATAAACATCACATAGCAATTATTTCAGTACTTCTTGGAGAGACCAAAATTCTATAAAAAAAGTAGGAATTCATTCCAATTTTCCAATATATGAGATTACTGATAACTTATTTTGCAATCTAATTTTGCACAGAAACTTTGAAAATAACGGTCCTCTTTTTCAAAATAAGGTCAACATTATTGAAAAAGTGAGGAGGTGGGTTACTAATCCATGGCTAATCTCATTATTAAAATAGGATTTTTATTTTTTCATGTACTTTTGTTGAAGTCACGATATTGTTTTAATATAAAATGTTCATTGTATGGTCGGGAAATACCCGTGACCAAAAATACAGCTGTCGAAAATCTCTTGCCATGTTAATACTGGTCCTTTACAAACGTCTACGTAATCAGTTGATCAGTTGTTATGTGCCAGCATAGAGTCAGTAGCTGCAGAGAAACCATGTTAATAGTTGTTCTCATACACGTGCAGTTGTAGTTACATTTATTAAGTAAAAATTAACATGATTGCTATATGGAAGAGTATAATTCAACATATGTATACACATTGTCAGTATCCACAATCAAAATAATCCTGTTTCACCTCGATTTTGTACAGTATATCATTATGGTATAGTGAGATTGATTAAAAAATAACATGAATATCCGATGAACTTACTGACCATTTGTCAAGGCTTGTCTACAGGTTTCCAGCCAAACCGTATGAGGGATTCATTTGAAATTTTCAGTGATGTTTCTACCTATGAAAGTTTAGAACCGATTACTTTTTAGGCATTCTGGGTAAATGTTAATGCGGCCATTTTGAACTTTCCGTCCTAAAATCTTGTCTGTCAAGGCTTGTCTACAGGTTTCCAGCCAAACCGTTTGAGGGATTCATTTGAAATTCTCAGGGATGTTTCTACCCATAAAAGTTTAGAACTGATTAGCTTTTTGGCATTCTGGGTAAATGTTAAGGTGGCCATTTAGGATTTTCCGTCCTAAAATCTTGTCTGTCAAGGCTTGTCTACAGGTTTCCAGCCAAACCGTTTGAGGGATTCATTTGAAATTCTCAGGGATGTTTTTACCTATGAAAGTTTAGAACTGATAAGTTTTTCGGTATTTTGGGTAAATGTTAATGGGGCCATTTTGGATTTTCCGTCCCAAAATCTTGTCTGTCAAGGCTTGTCTACAGGTTTTCAGCCAAACTATTTGAGGGATTCATTTGAAATTCTCAGGGATGTTTCTACCTATAAAAGTTTAGAACTGATTAGTTTTTCGGCATTCTTGGTAAATGTTAAGGCGGCCATTTTAGATTTTTCGTCCTTAAATCGTGTCTGTGAAGGCTTGTTTTAAAAAATAAAAAAGAATTTAAATTAAAACATTTTTTTAGAAATAACTGAACAGTCCAATTTCCAATTTTCACATATTTTGTAATACATCAGTATATCTTTTACCGAAAAGTGTATTCTGTTCAAGGGTGCGATTCTGTTCACCGTGTGGCTTATTTCTTCATTTTGCCCATGATTTGATTTGGTGAATTTGAGATTGTCAGTATTATATAAATGAACTCTTGTTCAGGAATGCATCTTTGAAATAACTCTGTCATTTGCAAATTCTCCACACAGAAGTTGGAATTTTGCCACATAAATGGTAGGCCTAGTCTTGAAATTCACAGGTAATGGATAATTCCTTGGGATGGTAGGCAAATATTTAAGTGGACAATAATGGGTTCACTTCTCTCTAATTAAAGTGATCCGTGCAAAATTAAGTAGAAGCACAGGACCTTCTTGTATAAATGGCCTTGCATGGTGTTTCTATTGACAAGAATGAGTCATTGTCACCTATTTAATCCAAAAACATTCTGATGTGAACACTTCCATGTTCATTTTTATGTCACCACCAAACATGTCACCATTTGGTATTTGATTATAGCCATATGGTTGGTGGTGAATTAATGTTTTAAGAGAGGTTTCCAGACACACGTTTATACTTTTTGGACAAGAAAAGTATCAATGGATTATACTATCAAGTTAACTATTGTACAAGGTATGAGGTTCCATATCCATCCGCCAAAAGGTATGACCCCTATATAGTCCATTTAAAAACTCGTGGTATTGTTCTAAATAACGCCATACATGTAGTTGGCTTCTAGGGTACCTAGTATGCCACTATTTGGTATCAAAATAAAGAGGAGGAGTTCAACTTTCATTTGAATTACGAAAATAGCGATGTAGGTCAAAAATAGTTCCGACGTGAGCATGTTTACTACGCGTTTGCCCATCATATCAGAATTGAGGAAGTGGTAGCAAACGCGAGTCACAATAAATGGACGCTGATATCTCAAAAAGTAACCTGACACCCTATAATTTTATGTAGATCAATCGAACCCCTATATGAACAGGTACATTTTGATATATAACACTATGGTGGGGTAAGCGTTCTATAGTTGGTCACGAACGCCATATGTGCAAAGTATTGTTATGAATTTTCGAATTTGGTGTTGGATTACGGCACTCATACCACAAGTACGAAACGTACAAGACCAAAACAGTCTCAATCCTATAATGTATTTTTCTAACACTCATTTGAATCAAATTACAGTTTAATTTTCACATTATTGACCAACATGTAGTTTTATGGTCAATGATGCTAGTAAGTTTTGTAGAATGTTCTTCAGATTTCTGAACTTGGAAAATGTTAGAACCTTGACATGTAAATGCCTTTTCTGAACACTCAGCCATCCCCAGTGAGATTTGGATTAGATAGCTTTTACTGTTTTGCTGGATACAACATCATCAATAACAAATGTTTCTTACATAATATTAATTGTCATTTCACTAAAGATATGACTCTAGCTCTCCATTTCTGCGTATGTCACAAGTCCAGCAATGGAAACCCCCACCAAGAGAGTTGGCGTGGCGAATGTTGACTGGAATGCACTCAATGCCAAGGGATTCAAAGAGCTTGCGGATGGAGGTCTCTGTACTTTGCACCATAACACGCTTGGGATCAAGCATCAACACATTCATGGACAGCCATTTAGAAGTCATCCATAGAGGATGATCTAGAAAGAAAACATATACATTTTATTAGTATTTGAGTTTCTTGCTTATTGGCCCATGGGCATTTATTTGGGAGATTGGTACATGTAAAAAAACCTCTTAAGTCTTAATGTACATAATTGTATATCCAAATAATATTAATAATTTTTCATTTCATTTTACACGTAGTAGGCATAATCCCCACCACATTTTCTCTCACAAAACATGTATCAGTATCATATGTTTTAGAAAATGTACATGTTTGCAAAAATAGCTCAGAACACAACCTGATAACAGAATCATCGATTTAATTCCTCACTTAAGTTACATAAATGGTATTGGTTAAAAGTGCAAATCTTAACTGTTTTTCGAAATAACGGTAAGGTAAGTGTAACTAGTATTTTGGTTATCAAAGATCACGTTTTTTATGAAAAATGGCCGCCATTTGGGAAATTAGCAGCCATTCTAAAAATCTCTTCTTCAGCCTAGCTCCTTTATCCCTAGGCATCAGCATATAACATTTGAACCAAATCCGTCAACTTAGTATTTGAGTTATCAAAGATAGATTTTTATGAAAAATGGCAGCCATTTTGTAATTCAGCCGCCATCTTGAAACTTCTTTCTTGAACAAATCTACTTTGTCCCAAAGCATCATCATATAAAAATTGAACCAAATCCATTTACTGGTATTTGAGATAACAAGATCACCAAATGTTGACTCTCTGATACTTACCATCTGACATAAGTGGCTTAGGAGGGTGGATCACATCCCACCCAGCATTCTTAAACATTTCAATCTGGTGACATGGTCTTTCAGGGTTTGACAATACCATCCCTGGGCCTATGATGGTGAATGTGGCATCTATGTGCAGCGGGTTTGCGTCCTTGAAGCTTAATGTGTGGAGTCTAATTCCTTTTTTCTCCAAGTGGCGCCTCATCCACTCAATTCCCATGTAATTGGTTACCTAGAAAATGCAGTGATGTGGAATTGGCTAACAAAACCAAATTTCCATGAAAACGAGTCTGGAGGACTACATAATGAACACATAGCAAATTCTTAACCTCCATCCGTTCTCTTTATTTAATAGCCCACTGAGGATTTGTAAGCTATGTTTTATATTTTATAAACTTAGGAAAGTGCATTCCAGGTTTCCCTTGATTTAAAATACGAAAAAGTCTGCTTTTGATATGTTTCTGTTGTCATTTTTTTATGTTTCATATTTTATATTGAGGATTAACTCAAAGTGCTATTCGTCTTTTTTATTATGATTAAGTTGTAGGTTATTAACATTTTATTGTTCCTGATCCCCTTAGAAGGGATTATTTCGCCTAATTGGTGAGGGTTTTATCCTGTCAAATGTCAAAGGGTTGAATTAAACAGAGGGATCCCCTTGCCGATGTCATTCTGGAAGAAGTTTACTAGTTTAATTCTCGACCCCTCACAGCATATGTTCATATAAATCATAGTTGGCCATTCTTTAGTGAATACCTAATGTCTCTTATAATCCTTTTAAGTGTTATTAATCATAAAAGATTAACAACCAATGTCATTGATGCTTACATGGACTTACTTTGTGATGCTTAAAAGCTCGCATGAGAATTATGAGAGCTGACAAAATTGTATATCATGGTTTTCTAGTCAGAGTGTCCTTTACCTTTCTCAATACACCATTTCAAATAATATAAGATTCATAGAGGGGTACCAAAAATTGATATACAATGTGAATTAAAGTTTCACCATTTCTGAACATACACATTAGAATGTACTATCCTTACTGAATTTGTTTATCTCGTGGTATGAGGAAAGTAGTTCTATTATAAATTGTATGGGGACTTCAATGGTATACTACAGCACCATCTTTGGATAGAATACTCTCATTTGCTGGCATATAATGCCCAGGATAACTGGGAAACATGTGATCATAACAGTGAACGGTAAAATATTTGGGATTATTTTCTGCGGATGGATGACCTTGATTGGTAGTGGTGAATTGATCAATGTACATAAATATGATGACGTTTTGGTACTTGTATTATGTAAGAGAGCAGAACTTATGATTTTCGTGGGATATTTTTTAGACATTTTTTTGACATGGAGGTGAGATGCTTTGCTGTATTTCTCTGAAATTCTTTAAAAATATCGATGGGGCTGCGATTTGAGAAATTCTAATTCGAACTTTGTCAATTTATGATGCATTTCAATGATACAATAAGTAAGAAGAGTTCTACCACTGGCGGATCCAGTAGCTAACAAGAGGAGTTCAAAATTTTGAGTTGGGGAAAAAAATATACCTCTCATTTCGAAGATTTTTGATATTTTCTCATGAAATTTCCACACAATGTATAGAACATACTTTCTGATTGATTCCTTAAATATCAGCATCTCTTATTTGATTTGTCAAAAATAAGGGTTACTTTGATAACTTGTCTTTTGGGTAGGCGGGGCACTTTTTACGTCACACAATTTACCATTGTAGAAATCTATCAATATGTGCAATGAAGGGTCCCTATTTTTTATTTGTTCTTATTTAAAATACATTTGTTCTGGGGAAAAATTGATGTTCACAGTTTTCATAAACATTTCTGAAATCCTGATTATCAAAGCTGTACCAGCGGGCCAAAAAATCAACAAAGAGCTATAATGCTATGGTAAGTTGATTAAAACTTAACCATTCAGCCATACTCTAGATTTTTCCATCAGGATACCACCAGGTTACCCTGCTAATATTGTGCAGGGAACCATCACAGATAACTAGTAAAATAGATGGCAAAGCTGCCCCAAGTTCCATACTCTCCAGATGAGACAATCCTTGATTTTGCTGTTTTCACTAGGATATTTGATAGATCAACTAAGAGGTGCACTTTTTGAACAATGCAACAACTTTTGACTGCAGTCCAGATGGCCCTTCAAACAAGTTTTCCAGATGGCTTCAGAGGACTGTATCGCCAATTTGTTGAATGTCAGCAACTGTGTATTAAACATGAGGGAGGATATTTCTAAAACCTTATGGGAGAATAGTTGTGACTATTATATTAAGTAACATCATGTACATGTAGGAAGCGGAGAAGAAATGCATGTGATATACTAATAAACTGCCTACTATTCTGCTGAATTATGTGACGTAAAAAGTGCCCCACCTACCCAAAAGTCAAGTTGCAATAGTAACCCTTATTTTTGACCAATCAAATTAGAGATGCTGGTGTTTTAAGAATCAATCAGAAAGTATTTTTTGTTCATTGTGTGAAAGTTTTATGAGAAATTATCAATTATCTTTGACATGAGAGCATTTTTCCCTGAACTTATTGAACGACCTGGTATATATAAATATTTTAGGCCCCTTCAACCAAAAATTGGGCCCACATTTTAAAATTTTAAGGCCCATTTTTGATAATTTGGCCTAAAAAAGATTCAAAAGGCCATATTATGCCCGAAAAGTCCAATTATTTGGGGCTCTAACGAGGATCCACCAGTGATACACCTTTACATTTACTTCTGAATCACCCTGTATATTGGCAACTATATATGTGATTTAATATGTAAATGTTTTAAAATTAAGGTAGTACCATGCGATAACATTGTCACCCTTCTTTGTACAAACCTGACTTCGTTGCACAAACACATCTCTCCCAGCTCTGATAAAGTCAGCCGCATCAAAGCAGGGCTCAAACTCTGTGGTGACAAATTGACCATTGGCAGCCAGCCTATGTCTGTCTTCAACAGACCTGATAGCGTAAACCTACAATGAGTGAAACAATCAGGAACCAGGCTATATTATTATTTGCTATTACAGTATATGATCACTTTAATCTTGTTACATATGCATTTGATTACAGGATCTTATAAGGCAATCATGAGAATCCATAAAATCCTGAATACCTGTAATAAAGTCTCTAAAAATAAAGTTATTTTTCTTCCATGGGGTGTGATATCTAAAACGACTATTAGATCTGTTACATTTCATACATACAAGTAAAAATTTATTGTTCCTTAATATATAAGTTTCTTTATCTACATGAGATATGTAAAACATCTATCAGAATAGATCTGTTACGTTTCATACACAAAAATAATGAAACAACTGCTCCACAAATAGTGACTTCATAAAAATGGTGTCACTGGGCAAAGGTGCTACGTATACATATTATATGTGATATATGTATTTTGAGTAGGTACATGACCATGCACCAGTCAGCATAATTGGACACATAATTTGTGAATATTAAATCCCCACTATAAAGTTTAAACCACTTTGGCATAATTTGTAGTCTTACATGTACCTAATGTTATGTAAAACTTTTTTTTTCATTTCAGAAAATGTTATTTGTATGACTTTTTGTTCGAAAAGTCATACAAAAAAATTAATTAAAAACCAAAGCATATCTTATCATATGCAAGACATTATGAAAAACATATTTTCAAATTTTGGGTGGGGCCTTTAAGTGATATTCTGTGAAAATTATATTAACAAAATCGATACAATACTGCACTTATAAAGTCATTTTCTAAATGGGCTGCCAAGGCAAATTATCATTTAAGACAGTGTAATATTCTTCTCAGTATTCACATATAAAATTTCAACAAAATCGCTCCACTACTGTTGAAGTTATTGCAAAAATTGTATGTAACGGCCACACTTTTTCATGATAGCCACTATGTTTTTGAATAATTAGAATTTCAACTAAATGAATTCCCTTATTGCATTTAAAACATTAAAATTACAGTCTAGATATTGTGATAACAAATATACTGTTAAGTTGACCCAAAAATTGTGGCCATTTTCAAAATCAGCTTTTGAGCAGAACTTGGCCAATGGTTTATGGCTTGAGACATCAGTGTGTCAACCTGTAGTCTTTTAGGCTTAGGTTTTTAGGTTTAGGCAATGGTGGTTAGAAAAACTTAATCAAATACCTGATCATACAATTCATCTGCCATTTGGGGTTTTGGGGCAGTTGTCCACATTGCCCCTCCTTTAAAATATTCCTTGATTAAACTTCTGTATGCCCTGTATTCAAAAAACCTGGATCTCCAGGCCATGGGGGCTTCAATTATCTCATCTCCAATTACAAGAAGGATGTCACGTGGCATCGCAGCATACATTCCTGCAAAAATCAAAAATTATTTCTTGAAAAAGAGAAATGATTTCATATGGTCAAATAAATTGCATCTTTTATTGTGGAAATGGAAGTGTTGCAACATCAATATTTGATAAAATAAATCTATCATGGGGCTTTGTATATGATTTCATGTGTTTTTCTGATCCCTTTACAGCTCAAGATGTATCTTACATGTAACTTGCAAACATGTATAACATGTCCAAATCTAAAGGTATGATGGATTGAAGGTACATGGTTAAATACCCAAAAGACTAGATGCAAATAGAAATAATGTTGATTGACAGCATTTATTATTCAAAATTCAGTTAATGTGATATAAAAATGTGATACGGTTTCAGAAAATGTTGACCAACTTTGAAAAATTAATTTTCTTTGAAAATGTGATTTCTAGACTGGCCTTCTAGGTTGGGGAGATTGTCCAAAGACCCCATGGTGTGAAATCAAAAAAGTCAATTTTTTTATTGGACGGATAATATATTATTCCACCATAAATGATGAGTACAATAATGCATAAAGTGATTTAAGATATAAGATATAAATATATATACAGGGTGGTCCAAAAAATAAGAACATTTGATAATTGAACTCTCAATTGTTATTTTTTCTCTAAACTGCACCAAAATTTTACTGGGTATTGTTCAATTACTTATTTATCTGATGTAAAGTTTATAGGTGCAAACAACTAAATATGATTTTATAAAATGTGTATAGCAATCAACATGTTCATTAAAGTTTTGAAATAAAGAATACCTGAAAAAGTAGCTGCGAAATCGACAAGTGTATATTTAAGAAAAGGGGGTCAATAATATATATATAGTACTATATAATATATAATTTTTAGTCACCCTTCCCTTTGACATTTGTGCTTAATATATATATATTAAGCACAAATGTCAAAGGGAAGGGTGACTAAAAACTTTAAGAAAAAAATAATAAAATAGAAATATAGAAAATGAAGCTACTGGACATATTTTCATTTGTATAACTATTAGACACTTCAGGGAACTATGAAAATTGATCCACTAAAACTGATGAATATTCAAGTTATCTGACCCAAATTAGCCACCTGGTGGTGAAACTGATAACTATAGGGTGGGCCAAAAAACGCCACTTTTTTCAAGACACTATAACTTTTCTATTTTTTAACCCCACATTTTGCAGTTATATAGTGCCAGGGTTCTTAGTAATAATATAATGTAACAAGCCCTTTAACTTGAATTTTATTTGATCTAAAAGTTTGATCTAAAAGGTCCGCCACCCTCTTTGATGATAGCTTTTAGTCCTAGTTGCCTTGCTGATACAGCAGTATCGTTCAGGAAATGTTGGCTAAGCTTCTTTCAACCTGTCTTAATTGCCAGCTTTAGTTGGGCAATCTTTTAGATTGGGTGCCTTCATACCATCTCCTGGAGACCTTCCCATACCCTATACTCACTGTGGATTGCATCAGGACTATCAGGCCGTATCAGTTCAGGAACATTTTGCAAATTATGATTATTTCTCATGGTACACCACCTGTTTAAGTGAGACGCTTGTGACATATTTTATTCAAGCAAAAGTGTACAATTCATAATACATGGCTAGATAGTATCCTCAAGTTTCATTTTGTATGCAAATTATGATTTTGTATAACAAATTAAAAAAGTTATACCATTTTGAAAAAAATTGTTTCTTGGCCCACCCTGTACATACTCACTGGGTTATTGTTATGCTCAACTTTTATTTTTGGCAGGATCATTATTAATGAATTCCATTGTTGTACCATTTTGTCCAGTGAAAATTGAATTAACTTGATGAACTTATCTCAACAACTACGTACTGGTGAACCCATTTGTTTGGAGATATTATAAACACTGACCTGGCCAATGCTTTTTGTAATGCTTCTCCAATCTATTGGTTCCCTAAAGCTTTAATTAAATGTGATATCTTGTAATAAGCTTACCACATGATTCAAAATCTGGAGTCTGATAAACTTGTGAAAAATCCACGTAGTCGGGCCTTTTTACTTCTACCCCTTCATGTTTTAATATATTACAAAATTCTTCAATTTCTGCATTGGCTTTCTTTAGATGGGCTTCGGGAAATGATTTTCCACCATGCTTTCTGAAGAACTCCCAATGTTTTGCATGTGTGTTTGTCTGAAATAAAAATAGCAATAACAAGAGTATTAAAGGATCCCATGGCTGTACTGTATTATAGATGTATAAAATTCACAAGAACTGAATAAATAAATTAGATGCAATGGGGAATCAGGGTTATCAAACTTTTGAAGGGGCTGTAGGAGCTGTGGTCTTAAGGATTATTGTACACTGCATTGTGAGATCCACTGAGCCTTTACTATCCTTTGGAACAGTCTCTCTCAAATGTTAGGTAAAGAGGGGGCTCTGATTAATAAGAATGGTACACTGAATAAAAAATAATGCTGCTCTAAATGCATGTATATTTGTGATCTGCTACACTTATGGAAACCTACCTTAACTTCAACAGTGAATGGGGGCACAGTTGCACCATTTACATTTCCTACTATGACCTCTTCTAATGGATCCCATTCATTCCATGACCAAACTGGTCCACGTTTCCCTGTCTCATGGCTTAAGTTGTCATCTGATTCCATATTATAATCTTCCGAAGCTACATTACTATTGTTTTTGTCCAATACTTGCTGTGAACCTGACCAAGATGCATTTCCTCTCTTTATTTTAGGTAGTTCATTGTCCCATGATCCAGTAAGCAACTTTTTCATCACCTGAAAAAGAGGCATCATAATTTAGAACATTTGAATACTGTATGAACAGAGTATTCACATAGTGAACAGTGTGTGAAATATCAATAACACATGCAAGGTCACCAGTTAAACAGTTGTCATGGTGATGAATGGACTTCTCACATTGGATTTGATGACTTGCCAACTTGACCCTTGCAAAAAATGACATTGAAAATGTGTTCTTTTAGCGATTTTGTTCCTTTTAGATGATTTTGGAGAAGATATTTTGCAATGTGTGAAAAGAATCTAAGCTCAAGACTCTATGTATTGTAGCTGCTTCATTCAACTCAGGTGTTGTTTCCTAAACTTTGCATTCCCGCTGCGCGGTCATGCAAAGACGTTTATGTTTCAGTGGCATCGAGTCATTGAATAAGCGATATGCATCAAGTGATAAACTGCATCAAGTGTTCAGTCGACGACATAACAGTGTCTAGAATAAAAGTTCCATAAACATATCGACATACAAGTATCCTAGGCAAACAACATCCTCGGATTAATAAAAAGGACAGTTTCTCATCTGGACTAAACCACCCTACCACTTCTCTACAAATCCCTCGTTAGACCCCACCTTGAGTATGGAAATAGTATTTGGAATCCTTATACAAATATAGACATCATCAAAGTTGAAAAAGTACAAAGAAGAGCCACCAAGTTAGTACCAACCTATGATAGGATGAAAAACAACTAAAATTCCCCTCCCTCCAATACAGAAGAACTAGAGGTGACCTAATACAAGTATTCAAGATAGTGAATGGTTATGACAGAATCAAACTCAGTGAAATTGCACAAAAGTCAGAAAATAAGATGACGAGAGGGAATACAGAAAAATTAAGCCATAGATATAGCAGACTCGATGTAAAGAAAAATGTATTCGGAAATAGAATCGTCAACACATGGAACAATCTTCCCCAATCTGTAATAGACACCACAGATATAAATCAATTCAAGAATGGAATTGATAAGCACCTGATGAGACAGAAATTTCTTCACCACAACTAACCCATGTCCAGTGAGCAATTAAACAACGCCCCCCCCCCCTTAACATGACATGAAAATAATACATAAAATCTATCTAAGCTTAGACCTGTGGAAGGAGGAAGATAACACTTACTTTTGGCAATGGATGGGGCGCTTCTCTTCCTCTACATCCACCTCTAAAAGCCCTGATGCACAACATTATTGTCTCTATAAAAAGAACATAGAAGAAAATGCAGCAAACTCCTCGAGTCGAGGTCTCCAAGGCAAAAAAAATCCTGACCCTATCATGTATCTGTTGATTATCCTGTTTATAACTGATTCAAGATTGTGACACTGAACGAACCTATCTGCCTATTTGCTATTTGTTTAGTTGTTGGTTGAGTAACATGTTTATGACGTCACAAATGATGCGAAGAATCTTTAAACTAATCAGTGAAGTCTATATTGATTGTTTGTTTAGTTGTTGATGTGGCAATACGTGTCTGACGTCACAGGTGATTGCATCATATTCCAGTAACGCCATTTTACGACATTGCATAATTTTCAAGGAGGATTGGCTCCCAGAGTGCACCACCGATATTCTGTCCCATATATGGGTATGTCGTAATACAAAATTCGAATTCAAACAGCCGCCATTTTGTTCACTTCAACATTTAAATCGTGAATTTTGGTCTTATTTCCAAACGAAAAATTCCAAAACTCACAAGAAACGATCAAGATATTGGTTCGAATCTTTTGAACTGTTTATTTTGAATTTATAGTCGGTTTTAATTTCAGAAAATAACGACATTTCGACGTTTTCATTGTTGGAAAATATCGAGTTTCGATCCTGGGAGCCAATCCTCCTTGATAATTTTATAATATTTTTCAGATGCTGTCCGACAGTTGAAAAATCCATTTCTTTTCTCATTCGGCCGTATTCTTATGTTTTTTGCCCTTGTTCTATGACTTATCTACACCTCCCTCCTTTCGTCAGAGAGCTGAGTAGATTCATGTCCAATTACATTTTCTTCTGATTAATCCTCTAAATTTCAAAATGATGGATAATTCGAAAAAATCTCATGACATGACAAGTCACTATATTTTGTAAACTTGACCATCATACTTGAGATTGTTAATTACATTTATTACATTATGTGAAACTACAAATGTTTGGAATAGTTTGTAAACTGGATTATCACATTTGAATCAGGGGGTCATTAACAGAACTTTCGCAAAGTTACGATTTCGTAATTCGTAACTTTATGAAATTCGTAAATATTTAAAAAGTTACGAATGATTTACGAATTCATAAAGTTACGAATCGGCCATTAACAGAACACTTTCGTAAGTCATTCATAAGTTTTATCGTTCGTAAACGAATTTCAAATTGTGACGTCATCTTATATCATTATTTAGCACAAATAAAAATATGATGTCATTTGATATCATTGCGCGCTGTGATCAAACCTGTCTCCGCGATTTCAAAGATTCCCAGCTCAGGAACATATTTGCTTATCATGTAAGAATAGGTAGATATTTTAGCTTGAAACTCAGCATGCATATAGAGAACAATTTCCATTTGCCAACCTGTATACCTTACATACGAATTGGATGAGAAATGTGCCATTCGCAAAGTTATGAAAGGGTCTGAGGTGCTATTAAAGTTACGAACGAAAGCATACGTGACGTCATTTTTTCGTAACTTTGCGAATCGTTCGTAACTTTACGAAAGTTCTGTTAATGCACATTTACCAAATTCGTAAAATTAACAATTGACTTGCGAATTCGTAACTTTACGAAAGTTCTGTTAATGACCCCCTGTTTATTGATCACTTTTGGATATTTATCACCCCTTCAAAAATTTAACTATAGTTCATTCATGGATTTCATGGAATTCTGGCAAATTCTTGGAACGCTGACGTCACTTGAACAGAGGGTGAGAAGAAACTTTTCTCAAGAAAATGGCCGAGTTTCTTACTGCATTTGGATCAAATTTCAAGATTCTGCCTACTGACTAGGCGCGAATATGCACACATTTGACTTCAAAAAATAAGTCATTTGTAGGCCAAATGATTTTATTGAGGGATTTGAACTTTTTCTAAAAATTGATTTTTTGACTGTCGGACAGCATCTGAAAAATATTTTAGCTGATTTTGGCTTCATTTCACTTTATTTGAAAGACTTTTAAAAATATAATAATGAGTCAGTATTTTTTTTATAAGTATTAATATTTGCCCAATTGAAAAATAAAACTAATTACCAACTTATTACCAACTAATTTACAACTAATTATCAACAATTCTGCTGGCAATTGGAATTAAAGTTAAACGTTAATTAAATCAATGATAATTATGGCCTAATTATCAGTAGCAAGTTCAACGTAAATTAACTTACAATAATGCTGATTTATGATTTTTAGTTGATAATTAAGATATGAAATGTTTGAGGGTGATAGTAAGTGGTAAATTAAAACGTTTTTGTCCTGAAGTAGATTATTGGTTGATAGTTAACATATAGGATGATTATAATGATAATTAGTTGTAAATTAGGCCCATGATTTAGAAATACAAACCCCCTAAATTTAATTTCAAGATGGTGGAAAAAGAAAACATGTGAGAGATATTTCTCTCATAAAATTGAGAATTACAATGTGAATGGTGCGTATACTACCATGAAATTTGGTCAACATTATTATAAGGGTATGTAGAACATGAATACAATGTATGTTAAATCTTATTCACACTTCTGTCTGAAATGTTTATGAATTTAAAAATCTTTTTGAATCAGATCATATAATATTAATCCTAGCATGCAATTTAGGTACTAACATGGGTTACCTATATTTCACAAGTAATCCAAATGTGCTCTTCTAAATAATGATTGTTAGATCAAAGACATTTCAAAACATATTTTTGATTATATCTGTTACGTCCTTATTATGTAACATTATAGTCTATAATGTTTGTGTTCTGATTTTAGTTGTTGATGGCAATAATGATGATTTCACATGCTTTTTATGAATCTTAAAAATTTGCAAAATAGAATAGCTTTAAAAAGGAGGGGGAGAAACCCCAGGGTTCAAAGATGACATACGCTTATAATGTAAATCTGTATTGAGATGACATCGTTGCTGATTGGTTTAGCGAGTCGATCGTTGATTGGTTTAAAACTAGGACAATTTGAAAACTTTAAAAACCAAGATGGAGGGTATGTTTTCGACAAAAGGAGGTGTGCGAAGGAGGAAATCGTATGTCATCAATTGAATCATGGGGTTTTCCTTCCTCTTGCTGTGAAATTTCAATAGTTCAAGTTCAATGTTGTCTGTTCTGAAAGATCCTAATTAAGATGAATATTCCGTCACAAAATAGTTTAAGATGAAGCAAAAATCTCTGAGTGAAGGGAAGCAAAAAAGAAGCAAGTCATTTTTGAGATGTCACAAATCTGACTTAAACCTAACTTTCAACTAATTATCAATAGTAAGTTAGGTGATAATTAGAGATTAACTTACATCAAACTTACAACTAACTTTCAACTAATTTACGTAAATAGCTCATTTGCATATTGATGGTAGTTAATCGTTAATTAAGTTGCAAATTAAGCGTTAATTAAGTTGATAATTAGCTCATTTGCATGTGAATTTTTACACCTAACTTTCAACTAATTATCAATAGTAAGTTAGGTGATAATTGGAGATGATTTTCCATAGGCTTTTTTCAATTGGGTGAATTTGAGGTCAAAGTCCGAAAATTTGATCAACTGATTGAAATCACATTTTAAAGAGGTGAAGAAGTGAATAATTAAAGGAGCAAACGAGATCAAGCAGAGGAGACCTCGAAAAAAGACAGAATGGTTGACAAGAATTTAAAATTTCCGCCTTAGAAACTTTAAACAAAATGCCAGTAGGTTATAGTCTACACCACAATTCAGCAACGGTTCCAATTAAATAGCGAACGATCTTGAATCGATAAAAAGATTCGAAATTCAAGGGTATAAATATCGAGCAACCAATGGACCAGTTTGGTATATTACATGGAAATACATTGTTAATCTAGAGACAAACTTTGAGAATCTATTATCGTGGCATGTATGTGTCTTTTACTCTCTTCTAATACAGTAGTAGTTCACGCCTAACCATCGACAACGTACAGTGACAAAATATACCGTCGTACACTTTAGATGTACGATGTCACTGTTCTAACTGATATGAAGCAAAAACGATGATGTGTGGGTGTGGTGTAGGTTTTAAAATATATCAAATTTTTTTATAAACCAAATAAATGATTGAACGAAAAGGCAATTTATTGTCTGCTAAAACACATTTGGGAACACCCCTCACTTTCATAGTGAAGTGACTAATTGGTTCATGTTTACGTTTTAATGTGTTTTGTGTTCCTTGTTACAGCAAGGGGGGCCAGTAAAGTAGACTAACATGTTTGCGTGGCAAATTTTGATCGAATATATGAGACACTTTAAAGGGTGACGCATATCGTTTAGCAAATCGAACGCTCGTTTCTGGTGTTGCTCACCGTTTAGTATAAAAGGCCACTGTTGGATTAATGTACATGAATGACATTTGTATATCTTGGATTGCTTCTAGTTTGGCTTATAAAGTGTGTGGCCTCTTATATTTGGATGTTTCTCTGCCATGTTATTTTCAATAAGATTAACATGGCTGAAATTCTTCAAATTACAAGACGGCACAGGCTTATTGCACAAAAAACTAAAAAATCTGAAATATACAAATGTCATTCATGTACATTATGAATATACTTTTCCATATATTATTGCACAATAGTCTCCCAATTTCTTATTTTTGCCGTTCTACTGACGAACTGAAGCAGTGAAATGGACTCTAGCTAAGCTAACAAGGAACTAACAAGTAACTAAGCTATAAGTTTGAGGTTAATTTTCTTATCAATACCAAAAAATATGTAACCAGTGTGTCGACGTTTTGTATTGTTTATCAGGTATTAATAAGATAAATGCTACAAATGAATCACTTTTATATTGGAATGACAAATGTTTAGATTATGCTAGTTTTTCACAATATGGGTCTCAATACGTTTTGAGATATGGACTTTTATTCAGCGGGTGAAAATTATCAATAAAGGAGGGCCTATTGCTCTTCCTTGACAAATTGGGCCGGGACTACGGCTAAAATTCTATTTCCCGTAGTTAGATATAGCTCAGTTGCTTATAAAAAACCATCAAGACTTGATCAAATTCATGAATAATTGAGAAAAATCGTTATCATTAGAGAGATTTCGCACATAAGTGAAAGTACAACTTATACGTATACGTATACTTTAAAGGGTCATGCCGAACTATTATATTTACTAAAATAAATTTTAAATTGTACTTAATGGAACATAACTATTCCCGATATAGAAAAGCTATATCAACTAGAAACTGTGAATGCACTGTCATCTGCACGTGTACATTATTCATATGATAATTAAATGCTTGCTTCCGTGTCCTAGTAGATGTAGTGTATTATAAACATGATCCTTTAAAGTGAGTCATGATCCTTTAAAGTGAGTCATTACATAAACAAGTTGATTATTTCAAAGTTTTCATGATCAGTATAACTTCAATGTACTTACAAAACGGTAGAAATACGTAGATGATAAACGTATACAGTTTGATCTCTGTATAAAGCTTTACCTACATGTGTGTGGAACAATTGACCGCGAGCATTTTTAAAATTAATTGGCTGAGTAGGAACAGTATCCAATCAAATACTTTAAACATCAATTTGAAACACCAATCAAACCAGTAGGTTCTAGCAATTCCTGGAAACGACCCATTCAGTAGCTCAACAAATGACATACAGGGTGTTTCATAACGAGATCTCCAAAAAGTCAATTTGAGAAGAGATTGGTCTATATAATATATGAGCCTTTTTATTCTAGACAAACACATTTGGATCAACTAAACATGCTACAATTCAAGAAAGTACAAATGGCATCCCTTTGACCTTTATTTAGTACAGTCCGAGAAGATCTTTCCTGACGAAAAGCCCACATTATGAATCACCTTGTACGTTTACTTATAAGTATACGTTATAAGTGTACTTTCACGTATGTGCGAAATCTCTCTATTATCTTCCTAAAATTTGGTTGTATCCAGCGGTAAGGTCAAAGAAGAAGCAGCCATCAGAAAACTTGATGGTAGCCACAAGTAACGTCGAGGAAGAATTGTAAGGCGTTCGATTGCATATGACTCTAATTGATTATTAGACATGCCCTTGGAATATATGAACATTCCAATACCTCAGTAACATTTAATTAGATATAAATCTTACCTATTTGTTATTGTATTATGTTTTATAAAACATGAACAATAATTTGTTGTTAGACCCATTGAATGGAAAAAATCTAGTAATAAAATGTTCTTAAATAGTAAGAAAACTAATATGTTCCCAATCATAAATTACCTAAATATTCCACGTCATAATTTTGTTGAATCGGCTTGGCTCATATTTGAAAAATCAAACAAAATCTGAAAAACACACTTGCATGATTATACAAATTAAACAACGATATCTACGGTTAAATTAAATAATATATTTTTAAATAATGATAATCTATTTTTGGTCGTATGCTGAGAATAACGGTCTGTGTCTTATAAAATGTATAAAAGTTCGACTCAAAATATTTACGTTTTTTGACCCCCTGTAATGAAATACATTTTTCGACCCGAAAGCCGGAAGTTTTTTTCAGCAAACGGTATTTTAAAAGAATCAAGACATGTGCACCTTCATAAATATTGTTTCAAATGTTGCTGCGTTATAGTTTTCTACGGATCCTTCATTTTCGGAAGTCATACCATGGACTATATATTCAATTAGGTCTTTATTATTTTCAGAGCATTAATCAATGCCAATCAACATAACAGTTTGACGAATCCTAATATGAGATCATATTTGTAAATAGTATTTACATTCGACCACATTTGCTATTGAGAAATTGTCTTTCTACGCTATTGTGATATAGATAACCATATTAGTATTCATATTAGGATTCGTATTAGGATTCGAACACAGTTGGCGAATCCCAATATGAACACTGTGGCTAGTCGATCTATGTGGATGCAGTCATTTATATGTAATGTATCGTGGGTACTCGCGTACATTATAGGGAATGGGATCATTGCAAAAATATGACAGCAAATCGAGGTAAGTGATCTCAGAGTTTCTACTTAACATTGTGACTTGAAATCTTGCATACATATTCAATATACATAGTATGACAATGAGTGAAAGTTTCAGCTACCATATTCCTGTTATAGGGAAGATATTTGAAAAACATTTCGTAAACGTCAACATATATGTATAAAATGGATGCACCTATGTGTCATTTGGATTCAGAACGGTAACAAATGGATGCTTTAATAAATTATACTTTTATCATGATAATTTATTTACTGATGGACAACTAGCCAGATTTTCTTTGTATCCATTGTTTGGATAAACATTCCTCATTCAGTAAAGTAATTAGCCACCCCATTACAAGTAGTCTAAAGACACCCTCATGAAAAATTGAAAATACTATATATAAACCCATCAACTGGAAAATGCCATTACAGATAAAATAAAGGACCCACGGTCCTGTGCTCACACAGTGTAGAACCTTCAGAGGAATGTATATCCTGATTTTCAAACAAAAGTATTGGTAAATATGAGATCAATAAAAGATGAGTCCTTTGTTGTTGGTTCAGATATGATTTGTTGTAGTCAAAGGAAAAACTATGAATTTTACCTAGATTTTGACCAAGGCCTTTTAGTGTCCAAATTTTGAAGGAAAGTAGATTTTGAGGATGGCTTCTATTGTAGATTCTTATTAAGTTGGCTGCATCCAAGCTGTATCTAGTGTTGTGTTGTTACAATTGATAATTTTCTCAAGCCCCATTGACTTAACATGGGATACCAAAATAGCGATTTTTGAGATTTCAAAATGCCATATCTTCCGAACCGGAAGTCGGATCAAAATCTGGTTCGCAGATTCGGATTTCTTGGACAATTCTACACATATTTCATAACTCATACATTGAATTCCAAGAACTTTTTATTGTGACCTACTTTTCGGATGCCATATCTCAAAAACGGTAAGAGTGATCAAAAACAACTTGCCTGTAGGGATTAGCTTTTTTCCAAGGAACATGAATAAAAAAAACGGAGCAAAAATATTGAAGGACGACTGAAAAAATTGAAAAAAATGACAAAGTACTGGATTTGACCTAGTTCTTGACCTTTGACCTAGATTAAACCTGATTAGACCTAGATCTGGACTTTGACCTGAACTGGACCTTGACTTGGACCTGGACTTGGACCTGGACTTGGACCTGGAAATGGACTGGACTGGTATTTTTTCAATCAATTCTTCACTTCTCTTGACTTTCTATAAGGCTATCATCAGATCGATTTTTCTCGAAATTTATAAATCAGCAATTTCTCGGAAACCGGGCGAAGTTGGGAAATGGCGATGATAGGTCAAATAGACATTATGGATATGCATAAAGTGAATGTGGAAATGACTCAATCCGAATAGCTGTTTTAATTTGTGCAGCCCATGTTGACAGACAGACGGACGGACCAACGGACGGATGGACGGACCAACGGACGGACGCCTGGTCGATCCCATAGGCTCACTGTGTGAGCCAAAAACTATGGTTTTATCGCTAATACTGTTAATTTGAAAAACGGGTCCATAACATGCAATGATGACAATGAAAATGTTGAAATTAGGATGAAGTGAATTCAGTTTTGATTTTGAATCAACATTGAATTGCATGATTTCATTTAGACGAGTATTAATGACTGCTTACATTCCAATGTACATTTAATAACATAATATATTGAAACTCTAAAGAAACACTCGATCAGATCATTGAATTTCAAGTCCTGGATGGGTAGTTTGCTTTTTTATGCAGGTCAACCTGATAACGTTTTGATTGGTCAATCAGCCTGAAGTCACATGTTGTGTCCATGTCCATATTTTCAATCAATATGGTTTTGCAATACCCTTAGGTAGCCCAGGTATTATGGGAATCTCGGAACCGCTGAATAACTTAGCATAATATCAGCGATGATACATTGGATTGTACAAGGTGGTAATAATTCAAGATCAGATAAGTAAATAAATACCGACTTGGGCAAGGCTACAAGTTTCAGAGCCATTAACATTCCTTGAAAGTGACAATGAGCAGCCAACAGATGGACCATCCGTAAATCTTGATGATTTTGTCAGCTAAGCTGAACGAGCCTCCAGATTCCTTGAAACAAATGACCATAATTCAAGAATAATATTATCTATTTACAATTTTTTGAAATCGTGGTAAGTGGAATCTTTCCAATTACCAATATAGCATTATTATTGTTTTTGGACACTGTGGATTAAAATATTAAAAATACACACATTCAAAATGATTCATTTGAAACCTAGCAATGAATCCAATCAGAACTTCTACTAATCCACATAATACATCATAATTAAATTGCTTTTTTAAAGCGGATATTTCATACCATAACCCAAAAAATATTATAGAACGCATTGTATTTGTATTTTACTTCACACAGACATATTTGTGTATGTGAAATAATTATATTACTTGAATTTTGTATTCCCCATTACAAGGTAAACCTATGGCAAATTATACATACCTTCTCACAGCTATGAGCGAGATGATAAAACTGGTCGAGTGAAGTCGTTTGAGTTATCTATTCTTTGTAAAAATATCAGAGAATGTGTGTTTATAGCGTAGCTTTGGTTTTGTAAATCAATGAAGTATGATATACACGGATGAGTAAATATATATTACTTAAACAGAAGTGCAAAATTCTTCCATTGAAAAGTACAGAGGCGGGCACTCACGAAACATTACATGTGCCTGACTGCATCCACATAGATCGACTAGCCACAGTGATGAACGCATACTTGTATTGGTATTGACATTCGACCACATTTGCTGTAGAAAAGTCGTGTTTCTTCGCTAGAATGATATAAACAACCATATTAGGATTCATATTAGTATTCGCATTAGGATTCAAACAGAGTAAGCGAATCTTAATCTGAGCTCATATTTGTATTGGTATTGACATTCGACCGCATTTGCAGCAGAAAAGTCATCTTTCTTCGCTAGAATGATATAAACAACCATATTAGGATTCATATTAGTATTCGTATTAGGATTCAAACATAGTTGGTGAATCTTAATATGAGCTCATAGTTGTATTGATATTGACATTCGACCACATTTGCTGTAGAAAAATCGTGTTTCTTCGGTATTGTGATATAGATAACCATATTAGGATTCATATTAGTATTCGTATTAGGATTCAAACATAGTTGGTGAATGCTAATATGAGCTTATATTTGTATTGATATTGACATTCGAGTACATTTGATACATAAACATCAACATTCATTGGTATAATGATATACTTAACCATATTTTGATTCATATTAGGTTTCATATTTGTATTGGTATTGACATTCAAGCTCACTAGCTGCTGGTCATTTTGAATCCCAATACCAATATGCAGCCAACTTAACCCACTTGTGCCAATGCAAGTTCCACTGACTTGAATTGTTGTAACTTCTTCTTTTGGACCTATCTCAGGAGCATCTGTGCTCACAATTCCTCCACCAAA